CACTCATACCTAACTACCTAGCTCTATGGTTGAGACGTGTTCATTATTGACAATCTGACGGGCTCCATGGGACAGCGTTTATCCCCCTTATATATATGCACAGGGCTATCAAGACAGTTAAAAAATATCTTGTCTTATATGAATTAGACATTGAATTTATCATATTAATAATTCGTGAAGACTAGAAAAAGTTAAAACAAATACCATAAATGCATGGTATAACAAAACAATTGTTTGTTGTGAAATAATCCATGGGTGTTGTAGGTCCTCAGGGGCAAACATGAAATAGCACCCTCAGCTTTGCCTCAGGTACCATTTACACCCCTCTGGCATGCAAAACCCCATGGACTATATCACAGCAGACAACAATGTTCATGTAATATACACTTGCCAAATTTAATCACAACACTGTCAATAAACTGTTGAAATGTGATAAAGGATGCATACTGGATCACCCTAAACCCAGCCTCGACTCCATGGGTGCGTGCAGGTTCCTTCACTAACCCCTGGCCGTGATGTATGCGTAAACGATGCTGACTTGCTATTCAGAGCGTACTGCGCGGGCATTTCGAAGATTGCACACCGAGCGCGCCCATAATGCGCTCGTGTGCTTTGCATGTCACGTCACCTACAAAACTTGTTCTGTTATTCAAAACTCGCGATGCCTGTACAATATGGATTATGGCAGCCTCGTTTTTCGCTAAAAAAACCCTGTATCTTCGGTTGTAAAGGGATGACAGGGGTAGGTACATTTAATACAAATCTTTTGCTAAATAACGCAACATCCAAACCTTATGTTTGAAAGGATTGATTCTTCAAAATCACAACTTTAAAGATGGCGTCGGCACGTAAAACAGAAAAACTGCAGCCTAATGATAATGTGCCATATTTTGACACATTTAAATTACACAATTCCAGGGGTTGAGATCGCGCAAGGCATGATGGGAAACAACATGGCGCAGCAAGATCTCGTACCCATGGAAACGAAGTTGCCCTAAATGCAACAGAAAGCAACAAAGGTAAAAAGTTGTTGCATACTGTTGCATTTAGCAGGCAACTCAAGTCCCCATGTAGACTTGGCCAAGTCTTGGTTGCGCTCGGTCTGTATCTAATAGCGCATACGTACATGTATACGCCGTACCATAATGCACCCTCATGCGTTAAATACATACCAACATGTTAAAAAGTACATTTACAGTATGCGTGTTGTACAATGTACAGTGTGCGCGCATTGTTACACCGCACCCAAGTGGAACGCTCGCTGAAGTGTACATTGTTGTGCTTCTGGAAAGATGTAAACTAAGTGATTTTTGTGATTTCTTGATTTTTTTTTAAGGTACCGACTTCAAGCTATTCCGACTTGAGTCAAGTCTAGTCCCCATGCTTTGTTGCATCTTGTTGCATTTAGCAGGGAAACTGCTCATAGTGCCAAGACAATACAAGAGAATCAACTTTTGCAGTTTGTTGCATTTAGCAGGGCTCTCTTTTCAGCCAAGCTGCATTTTGTTGCATTTGTTGCAACAACAACAAAAATCCTCACTGACTCTACGTATGGCCAATTCCTTTTATGGTCGGTCGGGTTACCGGAAACACAGCATTGTTTTTGTCTTATGTTTATGTATAGTTTCAATTGTAAAGCGCCTTGAGCGTCTTTTTAGATGGATTTTGGCGCTATATACGTACATGTAAATGTTCACTATTATTATTATTATTAAGCACAATATTGGTAATGGTTTAAGGTATTCTGATGAAGATATTTTAGTTTGATCAGGCAAACCTAGCCCTGTCAGCTCTAGTGGATCAGACTACTAGGCATTGGAGTCTACCCGAGTCTGTTATTGTTTCCCCAGCTCTTGGAAAGCACTTAGTTTCAGGGCTGGTTGATGGGCTGAACATTCATAAAACATATCTTGTTATGCATTCTAAATTTGGCACTGAAGAAATTCTTTAAAAACAGCTTTGCATGAAAAAAAGTAGAATCTAAAGATGTTTACACGATGTGCCCTATGAAACTACTTACATGTATTTGAGTTTATCAAGGTAGAATGGACCATTTGTCGTTAGTGCATTTGTTTCCTCGTTTGAAGTGCAACAAAAGTGCTCAAAATCTAAAAATGGATGCTTAACAACTAACGCGATGAAGTTTTAGCTCTGTGAATGCTGTATATTCCGAGAAAATACAATATTCTGGATCTCAATTTCAGTTCAAAAGTTGCCGAGTCATATTTTGAATTGTGCCATCTCGTGACACAATCCCGAAATCAGCATTAGGGATATGATTCTCATGCAGCTGATTGTAGCCCTGTGATGTCAAATGCTGAACTGATGAATAATAGCAGCCGTGCACACATGTGCATCATGTCAATGCTTGCGCCCAATTACAAACCAACTACAAACAGTACCACAAAATGTGTCACTTTACACATCTTTGGAAATTGCCTTCTTTTATGGTTTGCTCAAAATGACAGGATGCTAGAAGGAATAATTTCACAGGGAGTTTAGTGTCGTTACTATCTTTAAACCAAGTAAGCTTATTAACAATAATTTGGTCAGTTACTTTTTGGATAGCTGCAAATGGTCAACTCTATGTATATGTACCTTTACAGATGAATACTAAAAATATTTTGTAACTAACTGATGCACATTGTTTCTTATTGCAGTTTAATTTTTCACAGTCACAGAAACATTGTTGACATGCATCAATACTTCAAGGCAATGTAGGATCATTTGCATTTATCCCAAAAGCAATGAACCAAATTATTATCAAAAAGATTACTTGTATTAAAGGTCTGGTACTAAACATAAAATTATCGTGAGATTATTCCGCCTGGTTTCTGTCATTTAGAAGAAATCATGAAATGTAGGCCATTTCCATCGATCAGCCAATTGACTGACTGAATAATGAGTAATATTGACCAAACAGTGTATTGTGATCAAAGGATTGTGCATGGGTTTTCAGGTTTTTCTCGAGAAATGTAATATCCACTGAGCTGAAACTTCTACAGGTTAGGTTGTGAACTTTCTCTTAATTTGGATAGAAATTGTCACAGTTCTTTGTAGGAATTGTTTACAACCAGTACTTGGAATTAATCAGTAGGCAACTGTTAATTTATCCATTGATTCATTAGTTTGATACAAAGCCTAAATAAATTACCGTCATCTGATTGGTAGGTCATTGATCATGTCATTGAATTATTCGTCCCAACTCATGGGGCGGCCGCTCGGCAAAAATAGAAGTTCCATTCCACGGTAAATACAAGTTCTATTGCACAGTCACAGTCTTTTGGCGGCTCTGACCAATCAGATGACGAGGATTTATTAACATTGTATAAAACAAATAATGAATGTTTCACATTCATGCAGTGGAAAGAATAATTTCATTCGGTGACAAATCGAATGTTCCATACCATCAGTCACCTCATAAAATTATTCTGACCATGGCACTCAAAAATATTCATTATTTGTATACATGTACAACATGTATTTTCCTGATTGAAAAGCTTAAGTACACAAAAAAATTAGTAAGATAATATCTAATCAACAGGTAGAACAATTGATAATAGATCACGCAATCAGCTCACCCTGGGCATAACCAGGGGCTAGTATATCAAAGTGGTCAATGGATTTGTATACTGTGAAATGAAAGTTAATGCCGTGCTTTTAAGAGTTCATCACACAGAACAAAAGGTTTTGACTGCAACTGTCTTCTAGTATTGTCAATTGCTGTAATTTTAAGGATTTTAGGGGTTTTTTTTGCTTTGTCTCATTTGACTCTTCACATGGTTTGACCAATGGGGATGCCAGCTTACATGTGGTTTGTAGGGCTAATGATTTTCCGTTTCAGAAAAGTGCAAATTCCGTTTTCAAAAATCCTGAATTCCGTTTCAGGCTGAAAAATTCCGTTTCACATTTGTTCAATACATAAAAAGGCATTTAAACATATACATTGTACCATGTACACAGTAAATACTTCCAAGACGATAATGAAATAGTCGTTTGGTTGGAGCGCGGGAAAACTGCCCCAAAAAGATTTTTATTTTATCAACGGCCGATCAATGTACAGGCCAATCCCATCAGCTGGCCGAAGCGAAATTCATGTCCGCCATTTTGTTTTCGGGCTAACGTTAGCGACAAAATAGGATAGTTTACGCATGGAGGAATAAGAACACACGGTAGATTTTGGACCTAAGCACAACATGCATTTCAATAGAGCCAAAGTTAGATGTTAAACGAATGGTTGATTGATTGAACAGAAAAATAAACCTGCCGGTTGCGCTAACCGACAGCTACGGCATGCGTCGGGACTGTCACTCCCATGACTACGCGTACTACGGTAATGATCTCGTAACATTTATTGCTCTGATCTTGAACGTTTTTGTCCCCCCAAAATCGTGATATAAACACCGCTCATTTGTTGTATGGCTCGTCTGTTCAATCAATCATCAATAATTCATTTTGTACTCAATAAATATAACGAAATTATGTTTTTTATCGATAAAATTGCAGAAATTATTTTCTTCAGATTCAAATTCTGTTTTCTGTTTCGAGGAGCAGATTCCGCGAATTCCGTCCGTTTTCCGGGGGGGGGGCGGTATTTGCACACTATTGTCCGATACTGTACATGATCACCCAGCCCCCCCCCCCCCCCTCCTGACCCTGCATTTTGATGTTATGGAGTCAAGTGTACAGAGAAAAAAAAAATGCCTGCATTTCAGGCTTGAACCCCCCCCCCCCCCCCCCCCGGAAAAAATCCTGAATCTGCCCCTGAACTGGCTCATAATAAAGTACATCAATTTGTCTCACTTTCACTCTACATGTACCTTAAATACTGTCCCGGTATGTTGTATTGCACAACATTCCCTAATTGACATACATGTACGTAAGAACTTTGAGATGTGCATTGGCTTTTCATGACTTGTACGCATTGCCCAATGACCAAGTGTACATAGGTTCTGAATACTTTGCCAAATGTAATATAATATCCTTTTTTTCTATTATAGATAATGGAGTATGAAAAATTGGACTCTGAAGATGAGCGACTGAAGCGAGCTAGGAAAATATTTGACAATTATGTCATGAAAGACCTTCTTTCAAGTTCACATGTAAGTATTTATGAAATATTGGATGGGTTTGAGGGGAATACAAGAATAAACTTCACAACCAGAACAATATTGCATGAGTTCAAGATGAGTGCAATATTGCTATAGTGAGTGCAATATATTCTTGTGTCCCCGAAAAAAAGCCATCCAATATTTTATAATTATTTATATCAGGGTGACTTGATCCGACAGAAATGAATTCAGGGACTCTGTATGCTTTCCTCACTTCTACATTAATGTTAACTTAGAACGTTGACAAAATACCCGCTAGCATAAGCTTTTCCAGCATCTCACAATCCATCGATCAATTCTTCTTGGCCAGATATGCTCACAGAATATTTACTGTCTTCTTGGTCATTTCAAGGTATTGTCAGCGTCTTTATTTCTCAAATTTTATCGAATTGTTCTTGGCTTACTGAGGTGAATCTTGCACAACTTGAAGCTGTTATTTTTTGTCGTTGACAAACAGTTGGTACCCTGCATGTGAATGTACCACGCACTACGCTCTGTTGACTTGTTGACAACTGTGAGTTCCTGTGCTCTCAACTAAGCGGGAACCAGCGATGTGCGTGTCAGTACCATAAAATGCCAGGATGTCTATAGATGCATTACAAAAACGATACTGTATAGTCATCCGGGTACCGGTACTTCTCAGAAAGTATGCAATGCAATACACTGTTTTCTACTTGGAAGCCTGATATAAATAATACAATATTTTACTTCGTGAGTTGGAGTTCTGAGTGGGAAGAGTACTGCCAATGCTGTGACAGTATTCAATATCATGAATCCTAACCCACTGTGTAGGTTTATTTGGAAGCTTATTGATGCATCCTTCCAAATCCAACGATTAAAGTTCTTCATACTGCACATGGTTACATAAAATTGGGAGTTCAAGCCCCATGTAATTTGAAAGTAGCTGGCCTCTAAAGTACTCAATCCTCTGAAATCAAACACAAGCAATCGACACTTACTAGGAAATTTGGACTGGTAAGGTTCATCTTCTCATGCTGAATTATCATTATCATTTTTATATTATACCTCATTCATATTTACAAGAGAAAGTAAAACACAAGCACACATTTGACTTTTATCTTTTCAACTTCATAATAGTTAAATTATATATCACAATCAAGTCAAGCAACGAGGTGTTACCTTAAGAACTTTATCCTGGCATAATTCAGTTCCAAAGAGTGCAAAGAGAACTCACTGTGGAAACACCACAAGCGTTGTAAGGAAACGTTTTGCTCATCTGCATGTATATGATGGTGTATATGACGGTCTACATGGCGATTCAAACTCAAACAACGATGGTTTTCTGAAGTGTAAATCTTGACTGCTCAGCACTTTGACTTGCGTACCCCAAGTTTAGCTCCTAGTCTCCTAGCATGTAACAGTTGCGATCGCAAGTGAAGTTTCTGGTGGTAACATACTAAACTGTGCCACAGACATGATACATGTCATACATAATCTGTGTTAGGGATTTCCTGCCGAATTTTTCCACTTTTAAATAAGGAAACTAAATATGTATGAGGTATAACAGAACAAATACAACGTAGATTATTGTGGGGAAGAAGTGGGAAATTACTGTGCTTTGGTGTTTGCTGATTTTGACTATAATACCCCCCTCTGCTCGCATTAGGAGTTATTCAAAGCAGCCAACACCTCAGACCAGTCATGTGGCACTATTTCCCTCAAAGCATGTTGTATAAATAAGAGTTATTACCAAAAAGGATATTTGTCCCACATGTATGTTTCCTCTGTAGGTAAAACATAATGGGTAAAAGTCACTAGGTATTGTACTAAAAGAAATGTTTCTTATTTTGTTCTAGCCATTTTCAAATGAGGCTGTTGAGACAGTCAGACAGAATTTGACCAAACGAGAAGTGTCAACGGACCTCTTCAAGGTAAATATGAAAACCTAAACTGGATCAACGTGCTGTACTTGATGTATTTGTAGATGGAATTGAAGCTATTGAATTACATGCACATGTACTCCTCAGTTCTTCTGCAATTGTACTCAGCATCTAGTGGGGATGTACAATATGTGTGCACTGCACATGGAGCCTATGATGTCTGAGCAGATCCATGTATACAAAGTAAATAAAACATGGAATGAATATCCAATGAACATTGCCAGACATGTTTGGATTATGTCTGGATTGTCAGTACTTGTAACATTTTCATGATTCTATCACACACACCTACCCGGTAGACCTCTTTCTGTGAGCAAGCAACATCCTTGAGGTGGTAAAGTAGTCCATTGCAGTGGTGTACATGTAATGTGTGTTCAGCATATTTTATGTCAATCAGTGACCAATGATTTTGGTGTATTAACAATGAATCTATTAAGCAGTATGATCGTTGCATAAGGAAGACATGTTGCAGGGAATTTCTGTAATTTGGATAGTGAAATACATTTCTGTAAGTTTCTGCAGAGCCAGTGGGGGATATATTGTGTGAGTCTGTATTTTTTAACCCGGTATGTTTTGTTCTATTCTTCCCCGTAATTTCTAAATATTGTAGCCTTACATCAAGGAGATCATGAACTCGCTAAGTGGAGAAATATTCCAGAAGCTTTTAGAGAGGTAAGGAAGCTGATGTGTTGTATAGTGCCATGGTAAACCATTAGCTACATGTACATGTACTATCATAATCAGTACTTAAGGCTAAACAAACACTCATCTCATCTCAATGCGGTGATCGTTATGGAAATTCAACCTGTAGCAGATACCGGTAGAATATACCTGTAGTTTAGACTACATTGAAAAAAAAAATTGAAATATGTATTATGAAAAAAACACCTGTCATTAATTGACTAGCAATGTTATGACAGCTGTTGTTGTAGTTTGCTGACGTATTTCTTTAATTGGTTTGTTGTTGGTAAGTCGCATGAAGTGGACATGAATGATGATTCCTGCATGGAAGTATTGCTGGAAAATTAAACCATTTGACATAAAACTCCCTCAATACACGTTCCTGATGGAAAATATAAACATGTCGTTGAATATTGAATGTCTTCACGCTATTGTTAAGTTTTGTTTTGTAACTGCTTTTAGCATTCTTTAATCTGACATACAAGTATTACCCCAAAAGAGGCCGTCAAATTCAAAGAGCATGGCCATAGGCAATGATAGCCAGTTATTCACCATACACAATGCACATGTACTGCAGTTATCGCTGCAGTTATACATGAGTGTAGTCATGTTCTGAATTTAAACATGCTTAGATGATATGCACGTGTGCATGTAACACCAACAAATGGGATAGTACGTGTCAAAAAGACAGTGGCCATTAATCCAGTTACATGTACATGTAGAATCAACTAGACAGTTATTGGCCAATGCTACAGATGCTAAAAAAATATCTCTCTGTCTTTTGCCCTTTCCAGGCCTTTTATAATTTGCATTCCTCCAACATTAAAAATATTTAACAAAAATATCACTCAATTACACATTGAAACAATACTTTACAAACTTTAATCCCAATAGACAGGTACATTAAAATTTGGTGAGGGACTCAGTAAATTTAAGTTCATTTACAAATGTCATCCAAAGAAACCAGAGGTTAACAATTTTCTTAGAATTGTGTGAGTTGATGGCCCTACATTTGAAAATAGTAAAAGAGGCAATTATTATAAAACGATTGACATTATAGAAACTTGTGTCACTAGTTCTGTTTCCTAGCACAATCTCTTTGAAACTGATGTCTTTCTTAAAGTTAGAATTAACAGATAAAATAATGTGATTGACACGTTTCCAAAATTGAACCAGATGTTTACATGAAAACAGAAAATGGTTTAGATCGTCATACCCATTACAAATGTCGCAGTTGCATGAGTTGCTGCGATTCCACCCGGATAAATTCGATTTAGTAGGAAGTATGCTGTACAGTTCCTTAAAACAAAAATGTTTATATTTATTTATCGGCACTTTTTCAATTTGAAAAGTCCAGACCTGTTGCCAGTTAAAGTTATGGGGAAGCTGGAAAATAGTTTTCCAGTAAATTTCACTTTTGCTCACCATACACTTTTTCTGCACAAAAATGTTGTAAACTACCTTGGTTTTCAGCTTATTAAGGATGGTAGTGCTACAGATGCTAAATAACTTTTGAAACAAATTTAAAAAATGGGGCACACATTGAGCGATTTGACAACAAAACTTGCATGGACAAACTGCCAAAAATATATGCCAAACAGGAGGCTGAAAAGGAAGATGGCAAAAAGCAAAGAGATACAGGAGAAAAACAAATACTATGAAAGGGAAACAACAGCCAAGGAACAATGGTTTATTCAGCAGGATATTGGCACATCACAAAGCTTTCCATTTCTTCACTTCCTTCTTTAATTTCAAATAATATTTTTTTTTATGAGAACAGTAGGTTTGCATGGTGGACATGAACAATGTATGGAAGGTTTGCGGTCACACCGTGTGAATTGGATCTCTTATGAGTTGTGTGGTTCCGAGAAGAACCACTTGATTTAACTCTGAGTTAAAACATACATGTACATCACATGATGCAGGCTGAGTGCATATCCCATGCCTATTTGTTGTGTAGCCTTTTACATAGTTCAGGATTCTGTGAAAATGTGTTTTGAATGCAGTATCAACAAGGAATACGATTTAGAAGGCTATGATATCATATCATATGTTCGGATGAATTCAAGTTCTGTTGGTGAACAGGTCTGACTTTTAAGATTTGATGAACAGTAGAAATCCCAAGACATTCTTTTTCTCCAGACATTTTTTTCCCAAGACATTTTTGTTATTCTCCTGGCAACAGGCAGAGCATACTGTCCGAAACGTTGAGTACCCTCTGGTTCTTTTTAGAACCACACATACGCACAAAAGAGATTTTGCCACATGGTGCTACCGCAACTTATCTTATTATTACCCTTTCACCATGCAAACCTTCAAATCTCATTTTTTGTCCTGTTCAGTGACCAGAGTTTGCTTTCATGGATGTTTTGTCTCATGTAACTACATGTTTAACATGAAATAATAACAGTGTTGTAGGACTTGAGTCCATGACTCAGACTCAAGTACGTCTCGAGTCGCAATTTCTGTGGCTCGGACTCAACTGGAGTTACATTGGCAAAAGACTTGGACTAGGACTCGACCAGCTTGACTCAGACTTGAAGCAAGTGACTTGTGACTCGTCACATATTTTTTTTACCAAAACAATTATCTTTTAAAAACATTATTCTGATGTTTATTTTCTGAAAGTTTTCTGAAAGTATATGTAACATTAAAGCAGTGCTAAAGAGTGTTAAGCACACAAACTGTAATAACGCACCACTCTTCAGGTGGTGTTGCAAATAATAATGTTTGTTATGCACCCATCCCTATATTTCATGACAGCATATCACCCTACGTATCGCTTATACATGTATGTGTGTCCACATCCATGCACTTGTGACTCGTGAGTCAGACTTGGACTCAAACCAAATGATACGAGACTCGGACTCAAACTCGACCTAAGTGTCTCGAGACTCAGACTCGACCCAAGTGACTCAAGACCAGACTCGAGTACAACACTGAACAATACTTTCATGTTTATTTTTTCAGCATTTGTTGCAGTTAAAATAGTTTATTGAATGTTTCTTTTATTTGCAGTGAGAAATTTACTAGGTTTTGCCAGTGGAAAAATGTAGAGCTAAACATAAATGTGAGTAACTTACGTGTTGCTATTACATTACATATTTAACTTAATCATGTTCTTTTTGTATTTATTTCCCGTCCTCTTTCACTAAATTTTGTTTTCTTATGGACATTGCTGTACCTCAGTCTTCCCCACACTGCCCCACCCTGTTTTACTGCATACTACCAAACCTGCTTTACTCCATACTACGGTACCCCACCCTGCTTTGCTCCATACTATGGTACCCCACCCTGCTTTGCTCCATACTACGGTACCCCACCCTGCTTTGCTCCATACTACGGTACCCCACCCTTCCTGCTTTGCTCCATACTACCGTACCCCACCCTCCCTGCTTTGCTCCATACTACGGTACCCCATCCTGCTTTGCTCCATACTACGGTACCCCATCCTGATGAATGAAAGTTTTGTGGAGACACCATGTGGGAATAATAATTCTCAAACAAAGACAATGGTTCTGGAAAACCAATTACTCGACGTTCTGGTCAGCATGCTCTGACCGTCTTCAGGAGACTGTCCTGAAGACGGTCAGAGCTTTTATACATGTACCTCTGGTTCTTTTCAGAACCATTCTCTTTGTTTGAGAAAATATTCCCACATGGAGTTCCTGCAAACCTTTCATTCATCAGTATCTCCACTATGCAAAGTCTCAAATCTTACTTACCCCATCCTGCTTTGCTAGATACAATCCCACACTGCTTTGCTACATACTACGGTACCCCACACTGCTTGGCTCCATACTTCAGCAACCTTCTTTGCCCCATACTTCAGCAGCCGGCTTTGCTGCACACTGCGCCACCCTGTTTTGCTCCACACTGTCCCACCTTGCTTTGTTCTGCCCTGCTCCATCTGCTCTTGCCCTGCCCGACCCCAGCCTACCTTATTCTGCTGCACGCTGCCCCACCCTGTTTTGCTCCACACTAACCTACCTTGCTTTGTTCTGCCCTGCTGCATCTGCTCTTGCCCTGCCTGACCCCAGCCTACCTTATTCTGCTGCATGCTGCCCCACCCTGTTTTGCTCCACACTGTCCCACCTTGCTTTGTTCTGCCCTGCTTCATCTGCTCTTGCCCTGCCCGACCCCAGCCTACCTTATTCTGCTGCATGCTGCCCCACCCTGTTTTGCTCCACACTAACCTTCCTTGCTTTGTTCTGCCCTGCTCCATCTGCTCTTGCCCCGCCCGACCCCAGCCTACCTTATTCTGCTGCATGCTGCCCCACCCTGTTTTGCTCCACACTAACCTTCCTTGCTTTGTTCTGCCCTGCTTCATCTGCTCTTGCCCCGCCCGACCCCAGCCTACCTTATTCTGCTGCACGCTGCCCCACCCTGTTTTGCTCCACACTAACCTACCTTGCTTTGTTCTGCCCTGCTGCATCTGCTCTTGCCCTGCCCGACCCCAGCCTACCTTATTCTGCTGCACGCTGCCCCACCCTGTTTTGCTCAACACTAACCTACCTTGCTTTGTTCTGCCCTGCTCCATCTGCTCTTGCCCCGCCCGACCACAGCCTACCTTATTCTGCTGCACGCTGCCCCACCCTGTTTTGCTCCACACTAACCTACCTTGCTTTGTTCTGCCCTGCTTCATCTGCTCTTGCCCTGCCCGACCCCAGCCTACCTTATTCTGCTGCATGCTGCCCCACCCTGTTTTGCTCCACACTAACCTTCCTTGCTTTGTTCTGCCCTGCTCCATCTGCTCTTGCCCTGCCCGACCCCAGCCTACCTTATTCTGCTGCACGCTGCCCCACCCTGTTTTGCTCCACACTAACCTACCTTGCTTTGTTCTGCCCTGCTCCATCTGCTCTTGCCCTGCCCGACCCCAGCCTACCTTATTCTGCTGCACACTGCCCCACCCTGTTTTGCTCCACACTAACCTACCTTGCTTTGTTCTGCCCTGCTCCATCTGCTCTTGCCCTGCCCGACCCCAGCCTACCTTATTCTGCTGCACGCTGCCCCACCCTGTTTTGCTCCACACTAACCTACCTTGCTTTGTTCTGCCCTGCTCCATCTGCTCTTGCCCTGCCCGACCCCAGCCCACCTTATTCTGCTGCACGCTGCCCCACCCTGTTTTGCTCCACACTAACCTACCTTGCTTTGTTCTGCCCTGCTCCATCTGCTCTTGCCCCGCCTGACCCCAGCCTACCTTATTCTGCTGCACACTGCCCCACCCTGTTTTGCTCCACACTGTCCCACCTTGCTTTGTTCTGCCCTGCTCCATCTGCTCTTGCCCTGCCCGACCCCAGCCTACCGTATTCTGCTGCACGCTGCCCCACCCTGCTTTGCTCCACACTGTCCCACCTTGCTTTGTTCTGCCCTGCTCCATCTGCTCTTGCCCCGCCCGACCCCAGCCTACCTTATTCTGCTGCACACTGCCCCACCCTGTTTTGCTCCACACTAACCTACCTTGCTTTGTTCTGCCCTGCTCCATCTGCTCTTGCCCTGCCCGACCCCAGTCTACCTTATTCTGCTGCACACTGCCCCACCCTGTTTTGCTCCACACAGCCCCACCTCGCTTTGTTCTGCTTCATTCGGGTCTTGCCCACTTTACCCTGTCTATCCTTTTTTAAGTGTCTTTATATCACAAAGGTTGTTAAAATAGAACATGGTTGATAATGATTTCATGTAGTACACAACTGTATTGCACCAGTGGTCAGTTTTGATCCTGTTACCCTTAAAAGAATTGTCAAAGTATGGTAACATTTAAGGCATGTTGCTTTCATTTGTAAATCTGATAGTTTGTATCAGAATGATTTTGTGAAAGTAACGTAACTTACTGTTAAAATCAAAAGGATTTATGGGAAAAAACGGATTTATGCATCAAATTTTACCCTGTCTCTCTTGTGATGAATGCATTGGTAAGACTACATTGAAAATCAGTTCCTTTGTTATGAAGTGTTTTCATGTGGAAAGTGAATTAGAATTGTGCCACATGATCATGTGGGAAATCTATATGTATGTATACTATTTGGTCTTATTTGTTGTATACCATGCCCATTCATGTATGCTTTCTAATGCGTGTATCATGGATATATACCCAGTACGTGTATATATGTACATTTAGTACTCTGATTATTAGTACTTCTATTTATGTTCTTTATTTTAGCTAACAATGAATGACTTCAGTGTACACAGAATAATCGGCAGAGGTGGATTTGGGGAGGTGTACGGTTGTCGGAAAGCAGACACAGGCAAAATGTAAGGGGTTTAGAGTCTTTGTAATTAAGTGAACCCGAAAGTGTCTGAAATCGCTTTAGCACAAAACTGTCTGACATTTACACATTAGGGCCATTCATGGGAAGGTCTGAAATTGTAAAAACCATAGGGTGAATATCAGACATGTTGTCCCGGACAAAGAGATTTTAGACATTTTCAGGCTCACAGTGAGAAGTCACATTTTTAATTTATTTTTTGATACAAATGTCATTGGTTTCATTATCATTTTGTTGATGATCCTTCAAACAAACATTCTGAAATGACAAGTCATATCTGACCTGACCAATGTTCCATTGTTAACCCTAACTCCCTAGTGTCTTACATTAAGTGCTGGACCAATTCCGCCAAAATCAATCACTGACCCTGCTTCACATAATGCTTAAGGACCGAATCCACTGAAATCCACCACAAGACCACCACTACTATAGGTGCATTTTGATGGACTTGGTACTCATTGCTTGTCTATCAAAATCCCCAAAATGGCAGGGGGGGGGGGGGCATGGATTTTGATGGATTTGGGAAGGTTAGGGTTAATACATAGATTTCTTGACTAATAATAATGCCAACTTACTACCTATTGAACTTGTACATGTACATTTAGCATGGTTATAGCCTTTGGTATGAAGGTAATGCTCTTTCCCTTTTCAGGTATGCAATGAAATGCCTGGATAAGAAGCGGATCAAGATGAAGCAGGGAGAGTCTCTGGCCCTCAATGAGCGCATCATGCTCTCCTTAGTCAGTGAGGTCAGTACAGCATTTCATTGCACACCATGTTGCATAGCTGCCAACTGTTACGAATTTTTCGTAATTATTACGAATTGTTTGTTAAATTACGAAAATACGATATGCCACTAAAACATTACGAATTTCCCATTTTCTACCTAACGAAAAAAAAATACTTGTATAAAAGTATCGTTTTTGACCGAAAACTTCTGGCGAAATGTCGCGATAATGGATGGACTGGTGACAAGTCTAATAAGAATGCAGTCAAGCACCTGATAGACATCAATGCAGTGTGCGCAGTGGAGTACTTGAGGACCAGACTAAAACTATTTTTCAATGGTGTGTCATTTGTGTGCTGCATCTCGTGGATGTGTGGTTGTGCGTACTGTATGTGAATTGTGAGTACTTTTCAGTGACGATCGTGAGCACATTTGGTCGCTTTTTGCTGGGATGAGTCTATCAGTGCGAGATTTTAATCATGGAATTTAATAAGATTATGGTTGGAATAATTGGTAATAGAGTTTGAGTTTGTCACAACGTCCAGAAAAGATAAATCAGCATGCGTTTGCAAGGTATGTTGACGGGATATTTCTATTGCATACGGTGGCCCTAAATCAACGTGTGTAAAAACATTGATACGAACTCGAAACTCCACATCGATAGCATGCATCTCAAAAAAAAAAATGCGCACGTTATTATTGTTATTATTTATTTGACTTCAACAAACAAATACAGACATTGAAACAAAATTAATTTAAAAAAAAATAATAATAATTTTTTTTAAATTTTTTAAATTATTTTTTTTTAATTATCTTTTGGCCTACAGTACATTATTATTCACAACAAGAAGGGTATGCACATGTATGTGTACATGTAAACCATGTATCTGTACTCGATGTTGGTAAAGCTTTTGATAAAACGAGCAGTTGAAAATGACCGCGCGGGTTGATTACTAATTGGGATTTTGAAAAGTTGGCAGCTATGATGTTGTGTGTATTTGTTCATTAACAATGTGCTTTTCAGAGTCGTCACTAAATAAACAAACACAAAATAGTAGGATGAACTTCAGACAAAAATAACATTTACTTTTGTGCCAAAAAGAACAAATTTTGCACAACATTTTCTCAAGTTTCTAAAAAGTAATTATTATTATTATTATTAATCATTTCTGGTAATGAAACCAAGGATTCCTCAAAAGCGCCCTAGGCACTGTAGCTTGCAAGCCTGAAGAAACCAAACCTGTAGAGAGAATACAATGAGAAGAAGTTACAGTTTTAGAGGTGGGAGGAAAAGCCCAGAAGAATATTCTGGGGAAAACCCAAGGAATCAGGCAGGGACTGAAAACCCAATCCACATATTGGCCCAGGCAGGATTCGAACCCGGGTCACAGCAGTTTGTTGCTATTTCCAGCTTTTTTGTCACGACTTACTATGGCCCCCCAAAAATTGTTTTTCTCTGGTCAGCGCGCGTTGATTTTGATCATGCGCGTCAATGTTATTTTTCTCCAAAATTGTCAGCGGTAGCTACAACAGCACCCTCTATTACCGCACCCCCTCAAATTTTCAAAAAAATGCATCGCCGCATCAATTCCGGAACTTTGATCTGACCAGAGACCGACTATTTTATTTTTATTTGGCCTAATGACAAGTTTCTGAACTGTTTTAGTATTGTGTTACAAGCTTTATGTCAAGTCTTAGTGCTGATGACTTTTTCCATGTTTCTTTTTGTTTTGCAGAATGATAGTCCATTCATTGTGTGCATGACATATGCATTCCAGACACCAGACAAGTTGTGCTTTATTCTGGATCTCATGAATGGTATGTTGATTGTAAAGACTCCCAAGTTTCTTTGATGAGTGATATGCCCAGCACAGATTTAATATGTCAATGACATCAGAAAATCCTCTTCCTTCAATGACAATTTTAAGCAAAATGTGGTAACCTACTCACATGGAAGTATCCTACTGATCGTTGTGCACACTAGTACATTGTGGGACTACATGCATTTGCTTGCACATATGCCTGTGCCATGTTTAAGGAATATCTCCAAGTACTCAATAATATTCCAAATCTCCAAACTTTAAAGCTGTTGAACTCTTTGCATGCAGTGAATGGATATATCGGCTCACTGTCATTCCCTCTAAAGATGGCAAGCTAAATCACTCCATTTATTTATGTATTTAATTGGTTTAGTCTGAAACAATTATGAAATGTACTAAACATGAACAATGCCTATAGCAAGTATATTGGATGATAAACATGTAAAGATTTCTGTGTTTAGACATGATGATGTTGTTGATGTAGACTCTATACATTTTGTACATGATGTACTCAATGAGTAATTGCCTTGATTGTAGGTGGTGATCTACACTACCATCTGTCCCAGCATGGAGTGTTTTCAGAGAAAGAAGTTCAGTTCTATGCAACTGAGATCATCCTTGGCTTGGAGCACATGCACAATCGCAGTGTGGTCTATCGCGACCTCAAACCAGCCAACATTCTCTTAGATGAGAATGGTCATGTAAGAATCTCGGATCTTGGTCTAGCCTGTGACTTCTCCAAGAAGAAACCACACGCAAGTGTGTAAGTTATTGGGATCTTCTACAGCTTACTATTCCTAACATGTAGCATTGCCTAGTGTTTGTATGTATATGAATACACAGTGGCTAGAGTTACTGTTGCCAATCCTATTACATGCATCAGTTGTCAGTGAAATTATTCCCATTAAAAAAAGAATCCAGACCCATGAATCAGAAAGAAAAGAAGATACTTATTTCAATGAAAAGTAATGTTTGATTAAGAGAATAGGGAATTGAGGAAATGAGAGTATGGAGCCTTGATCATTGGCATGCGAAACACTCACCTATCCTGCTGAGCTAACAAACTACTTAAAATTGAATGATGAATTCACAACATCATACTATAGATCCACAATGCCATGTAACTTTAGCCATTGAAAAGGTATGTTGACTTACGGTAATTATAGCCATTTCGATCGTACTTGCAAAAGGATCTTTGAAATCAATTTAAATTGTGTAGTGTCTAACTGATAATACACAATGGACACATTGTATACCTTGTTAAAAAGACTTCTGTTATTGATTATGTAGATTGACATGCTATTTAGCAGAGTCAGTTGCATTAGCCAGTATAGTAAACAAACCAGGGACATTACTGAATTGAGTTGGGTCAAGTACATGTATGCTTGTATAGGCCTCATGCCCATTGGAATATTTTTGAGTATACATGTAGTTGAATTTGTTTGTAATGTTTTGATGGAGATGAATGTAAGAAAGAGATACATGATGAAGTCATTTAGAAACTGTTTGTAAATGTACAAACGTAACAATTCTTCAGCGTTTCAGTGATCCCAATACAAGAATGTCACAGTATATTAAAGTGACTCAGAAAACAAACTGTTTCAGGTATCAGAAGTCCAAGTTGATTTTCCAATCAAGAAGGGGAATTTGACATGACCTGCTATGTCTCCCTTGCTTGGACTGCAAATCTGACCTTGTTTGAATTCATATTGGATATTATTCTTCAGAGGAACTCATGGCTACATGGCTCCAGAGGTTCTATCCAAGGGAACTGCCTATGACTCCAGTGCAGACTGGTTTTCATTCGGCTGCATGTTATACAAGTTGTTGAAAGGGTAAGTAGTCAAAGTAACCTAGAAATGTAAATGGGGTTTGAAGCTGTGAAGTTATACAAGATTGTCTGAAGGTCATGATATGATGCCAAACAATGGGTCTAAGATAATTAAAGCTCTGGTGTATGTGTTCTCAAATGAACGTTCATAATTTCCAAAGTCTCTATGTTTTGTGAAGATGTCCTTTCACATTTGCCTTAAAAAGTGGAAATTATGCTCAGAAACAGCAAATTTGTGTAAGTGTTGCACATACCTCTGAGTGATACAAGAGTTACATGAACATTGTCTGCATCAGACTGTGGAACTAACTGACGAAGTCAGTATAGAGATCCAAACACTCAGCTGTACTATGAAGGCCATGCAGACCCAAGGTGTTACAACAAATGCCACAATTTTGTAGTATCCTGCCAACTGGTCAAACCAATGAAAATGTGACCTTATGAGCAAACAAATGAATAAAATCCTCCCAGGGTAACTTGTGAAAAGTGTGAGCTTTATTGTCAGACATGAAATGCTCCTGATGTGCTGCACTTTCCTGATATGAATGATATTCCAGACAGTATTTGAGTGATGCAAACATTTGTATTGACACCTTTGACTCATGACCATGCTAGTCTTGTATTCAAAACAACAGTGTACAACATGGCAAGCATTCATCTGCATGGAGTGGTATGAGCTAAATACTGTAGCATGCTATTTGATACTACACATGGTTGGGTAAGGCAGTGTTCTGATATTTCACCTGTATAGGCACAGTCCATTCAGGCAGCACAAGACAAAGGACAAGCATGAGATAGACAGAATGACACTTACTATGGTAAGCTTGATTTTCATAAGTTTAAAGTTGGACAAAAAAATTGACTGGAGCAGGATTTGAACCTGTGACCTTTAAAAAACAAATTCACTGTCATTCCTTGTTGTAACTTACATGACTAATAAAACATGAATCTGAATCTGAATCTAATACTTTTTTTAATATTGTATTTGTAATATTGCAATCTTGAAAAAAAGTTGTGAATCCAGATGTTCCAAGCACAATTTTCAATAGGTAAATGTTTGTGTTTCTTGTAACCATTTTCAACCAATAATCAAGCCTTTTATATTTCAAACATGCATTGGCGTCTGGGTCACGTTAAGTCCAATTGTGCATGTACTTCTACTAGTAATCATGAAAAACTAGTCAACTACAGTGCTGTGCAATGACATTACATAGAGACATACAAATATTTGGAGGAATGTTGCTCAAAATCAAGCAATGAACCAATCTGACCTTATTCTACAGTTCTTTTGTATATTATTTTAAAGCGGCCAACTAGTCATCATAATTTGGGCAGTAGTTCCACACATGGTACCATGTGACTTTCATGACGTATCTTTTCAACTTTTGTTCCCATGATTTCAGCTTTGCAATATTTATGTTCTCACACCATGTAGTGTAGTCTAGGGTCTCGATAAAACGTTTGAAAGACTATTAAAGTATAGTCTGTAGATGATTATATAATGAGTATTTTTTCTTTGTTCTTAGGATGTGGAGTTCCCTGATTCTATGACAGATGAGATGCGGTCTTTATTGGAAGGCTTGTTGCGTCGTGATGTGCCCGATAGGTTAGGCTGTATGGGCAGAGGAGCTCTGGAGGTCAAGGAACATCCATTCTTTAAGGGTATTGATTGGATACAGGTTTCATATCAGAAGGTAGGTGGATATACATACAGCAGTCAGTGCATTGGAATGACATTTTTACAAACTTGATAGTTGATCTATTTTTGTGTACTTTTTTTAGTATTTTAAAATTCAGATTTTGAGGCTGAGTAGAGAATGATATATGACTGTTAATGAGCATGATACATGAGAATGTATTTGAAGACACATTGTTTGATATGTTTCTACACTGTACAGTACACACCGCCATTAATTCCCCCACGAGGTGAAGTCAATGCTGCTGATGCCTTTGATATTGGTTCCTTTGATGAAGATGATGTCAAAGGGATCAAGGTGAGAACAAGCTTGTCATTATTCGCTCTCTTCACACTTCCGCCATAAGCATGCAGAGCCTGGATCAGGCAACTTTACACAATGAATATAGCCAGTTCTGTGATTCCCGTGTCGGGGTTCAGTGATACCCGTGTATTCCCGGGAATCACTGAACCGGCTATATTCATTGTGTAAAGTTGCCAGATCGGGGCTCTGCATGCTTATGGCCGAGCGTGCAAAGAGCGAATTGTGGTCATTATAAGTCTTATGCATTCAAATTAGCAACATGTGAATATTAATAAGTCACTCAAATTGTGAATATCTCTGAAAACAGGGGAATCTTGTACGGGTATATTATGTAAATAGTGTATGTTAGCCTCTCTACATGATCCATGGAGCATTCCAGTTTCCTGAGGTGAAGCTGAGGGAAAATAGAAAGCTCGATAGATCACTTTTGGAGGATAGGTTTACTGAACCATATATTGAAGCAGTCAGTATTTGTTTTACAACACCTCACCCACAGATTCTGCTTATTTGCTGTAGAGATATCTCATTAATTAAACCAAAATCCAAAACAAATGCACTTCTGTTTCAATTTTAAATTAATTGAAGGTTTACTTGCACTTTTTCCAAATACCCCATGTATTTGAATACAAATACAAATATTGAACCCAACTCTGTAGCGTGCAAATGCAATATGTGCAACATGGGCTCACAAACCTGGTACATTGGTTGCTATGCATATACTACTTTTCGGCGTGAGGCTGCGTTGTGTAAACCCTTTGGCCATGCATGTTTGAAAGTCACAATGAGAGAGATTGAGAGTAAGCTGGTGTCTGTTGCATCACACAGCTAGCAGAATCAGACCAGGAGTTGTACAAAGACTTCCCACTGACTATCTCGGAGAGATGGCAAGAGGAGATTGCTGAGACCGTCTTTGAAGCAGTCAACTTGGATGCAGACAAACAAGAAGCTAAGAAGAGGGCCAAGAAGATGGATGAAGGAGGTCAGAAACCAATGGAAATAAGAAATTCAGGTTGAAATACACCTAAGACCTAATGATGTAATGGCATTGTTTACATATGCGCTTTCCTATGGGAGTGAAGTCAGGACGCCAGATGAAGTAGGGACCGTCTACTACATAGGAAAGCGCACATGTAAACAAAGTGTGACGTCATTAGGTCTCGGGCCTAGTGGAACCACCGAAGAAGTCAGATTTGAATGACAGAATGATTGTACACAGATCTTTGGACTGCATTTAATTCATTTATGCAAACATACACCAACTGCTTTTTTTGCATATCATTTTTTGATAATTAAGTGTGTGCCTTGAATATACAAGAACTTAAACGGGGAACCCTGTAGCTCTGCAGCACTCATGAGGGTAAGGAGATAAAGGAACAAAGCAGTATGGCCAACAGAAGCATTTTTCACCTCTTTGTTACAAAAGAAGACAGAATGGTCAGAAAATGGACATTCAAAAACAGCAACTCAAGTGTGGTTAGGCATTAACTTTTCAATGGATCACCCATTTTATCTGACAACATCAAAGCTGTACTTCTGAAATGAATATGTATTATCCAAATAAAAATGGTTGAAATTACCGTACAACTGCTTCCAGAGTTAAAAAAATAAATTCAATTAAAATAAATGATATTTTGATTTTAAATCTAAAACAAATGAGGTATTTCAGTAACATACTTATTGAAATTGCAACATGTGATTCAAAAGGTTTAGAATTCCTAGATATACAGGATGACAACACAGTAACTGATCCTATGAGTGGGTTTGGGTCATTTCATGCTAGTTGCAATGAGAATCGTTGCCTGTCTGAATGTCTTATTTGTCTGATACAGAGTATGCCATGGGCAAGGATTGCATCATGCATGGCCATATTTTCAAGCTTGGTGGGCCTTTCTTGAACTCATGGCAGCGACGCTATTTCTACTTGTTCCCCAACCGACTAGAGTGGCAAGGAGATGGTGAAAAGGGAGTCAGTTCGGTGAGTCTGTCTTCTCAGATCATGTGCGGAAAATATCCTCTGAAGAATTTAACTTTGGTTCTGTTGTTTTCTCAGAGATGCACATCTTTTGATCAATGTACTTGAGATTTCACAAGTGCAACATAGTGGTTTTATGTGAATTGTTTCTGTCTATAATTGTTACCATAACGTCTGAGGTACTGCACTTTACACAGCAGTCATTTTGACACTGTATTACCAGCTAAGTTGATAACTTGTATCTATTCATGAGCGCAAACCAGCAGCCGATTTCACAAAACTTTAAGCAATGGCGTAAGTCCAGTTGCGCCATAACTTATTGTTTGAGTTGCGCAACATTTCACGCTGTGCAACATTTCAGTTATGACAATTGCACGAAAGTTTCATGGAGCGTAGTTCCACGACTTGCAAAACAAAATATAGTGTAACTTGCGCAATCAATTTAGATGGCGTAAGTTGTGGCGTATCGACTGAAAATGACCTATTTTACCAGCAAATTGTGATCGTCGTGAAGCCTGTTATTGCAGAACTTATCAAGGTTGATACAAGACAAAGCTTTGTGTTTGAAGTAAAAGAATTGCTATTTTACTTGTGACAGAGTTTTTAGAGTTGTCACATGATCCCGAAGAGAGTCGGACAAAACTATTTTCAAAATGGCAGGCAGAGGTGATTCAACAACTGTTTCATGAATGAACAAAATCATATACAAACAGCCGTCGTAAATGCTGTTATTATCCTCATCCAAGATGTTTAGATTATGTAAAACGTTCACATTTCGTGGAATCAATTGTCAGTTTATTGCGCAGCTGCGCTATAAATTTGTTGCCCAAGTCCTACACCTGGTGTAGGCTACGCACTGTTTTGTGATATTGGCTGCAGTGTGCACATGTTGTGTAGCCCACATATTGGAGCTGTTGTGAGTGGTCACAATGTGCCATTTACAGTTCATATCATATCAAGTCTTACCCTAACATTCTCTTGCTAGGGTGCAGAACGTAAGAATGAATGTAATTTTCTTGATCTTTTTTTTTTCTCATTCACTTTAACAGCAAAATGTTCTGGTGATGGAGCATGTATTGAGTGTTGAGGAGACAATGGTCAAAGGCTGCAAATGCATACAGTTGAAACTGAAGGCAGGCAAGAACTGTATCCTAAGGACAGAGGTAAGGTTGATTAGCAAGACTTCAAGCAACACATTCAAAGGGACCAGGAGAGGATTTTTTTGCTTACAGTTTTACTCATATATATGGAAATTTGCGTTAGCGGAAATGGCAGCATGATGATTGAAAACAAATGGGACACAAAGGTGCATTTTCAAGATCGCATTAAAAGAAATTCTCTCATGGGCCCTTGAATAGAAGAGTAGATGTGACAAATCTTAAGTTTCTAAGAGGGCATGCATGTCAGGATTGTTTGTTCATTCAAAGCATTCTTAAACTTTGGTTGTTGTTGTTAATAATAGAATTTTGTGAACAAGAACATGTGAATTAGTGAAGACTATTCAGCATGGATTACTCAGTGCAATGTGTCTACTTTCGGCCTGCGGCAGACATATGATTGAATGCTGAGCTTAGTTAGAATCAGTGATGTAGTGCCTTGATGCTGGGCCTTGGCCTTAAGGCTGCCTTAAGGCTGGATTTAAGGGCCTTGGCCTTGGCCTCGAGGCTTGAGGGCAAAAGCCTTGGCCTTGAGGGTTCAGGGCCTTGCAATTTTGAGTCAAGGCTCTTCAAGGCCCATAGATTTTTGCATTTTCCAGATAAATCTGTTCCAAATTTTGCTGTTACCATTTTAATCGTATTAACATGGAGGAGGGAATTAAGCACCCTATAGATTTGTGTGTTGGGCACACTTCCACTTTTGTAGCATCACATTTTGTTACCATTGTAGTAGATTTGCTGCAAAAATATTCCGTACACTTGTGGGGCTAATGAGATGATCACTTTAATTGCATATGACTATGGAATAGATCTGATTGGTTGTATAATTTTATGTCTCCCTGATAAGTGCTAAAGATTTGCATGTATCTGTTTTAGATAATGCTGATATTTCTGACCATGTTGGGCCAGCAAATAAAAATTTCCCAAATCAGTTTCTTGGATCCCCCTTTTGTTACACTTGGGAGAACTGTGTGTCAATATAGAAGTAAATCATTATTTTGTTTAGTTAACCCATATTGAAGACCTGAACTTATACTTTAATAGATACAGTGCAGTCATAAAACGGTGTAGGCCTATGCGAGCATGTTGATTGCAATTAAAGAAATGTTGTTCTTCGTAACGAGCTATTCGTGATGATAAGGGCGGATCCAGGGGGGCCAAAAGGGGCCATGCCCCCCCCCCCCAAAAAAAGAAACCATTTTTTTTTATGTGACGTCGTAATAAAGGCAGGCAATGAGTACACCACCATCTTTTCCTCAAAAAACATTGGTTAAAATGGTCAGAAATTGCCTCAAATGGCACCACAGAGCATCTCGAATCCAAACATTTTTCGGGGCCCTTAAGTGATCCGAAGCCCAAGCCGTAAATTTTTGACCCACTTTTTTTGGGGGGACCAAAATGTCTTTGCCCCCCCCCCCCCCCAAATTGTGTTCTGGATCTGCCCTTGCGTGATGATGTGTCACTCATGTGACTATAATTAGTTCTATATCAGTGGTCATTTCATAAAACAGGGCCTTGGCCTTGAGGGTTAAGCCTTGGCCGTGGCCTCAGGGCTTGAGGGTCAAAGCCTTGGCCTTGGCCTTGAGGGTCAAAGCCTTGGCCTTGAGGGTCAAAGCCTTGGCCTTGAGGGTCAAAGCCTTTGCTCCAACACTGGTTAGAATGTCTGTTACTTGTGGATGATGCAAGTCATGGTTTTGCTTTTTGTATGGCAGAGTGATCCAGAGTACATCCAATGGAGAAAGGAGATCAAGGAAGCCTTTGATAAGGCTCAACAGATGTTACGTCATGGTCCTAAGATGCTGGCTACACAAGGTTCGTCTTCTGATATGATGAGACATCAACCACTGGGCCAACGTAACAGTAATGGTGCCCACTAACACTAACCTACAACATGGCCCAGCAAACCAATCCTAGACATGTTGTCATGCAATTAGCTATGAGCTCAAGAAGCAAGAGAATGGAGACTTGTCTTAACTGCTTTTCATTGCCACTAACCTACTGACATACTAACAAAGATTGACATTGGACGTTAATTGGGACCAGTACAACGCAAGCATCTTTGACGTGGTTTAACCAAATTCTTCTTAACACATGCACACATCTTTATGTCACTGAATATCATTGTGAAATGATGGTATCTTATGGCTCATTCATTGGTACATACAGCTCTGTAATGACTTCCCTCATGATTCAACCGTATATAACTTGGCAGATATCATTAATGTACTCTCCATGGTCACTCACTGTGTAGGGATGTTGCCTAGATCCATTGCAATGAATCTTTCTTCGGTGTTGGTTCTGAATTTCCAATCCCTTCTACATTTTCGTGACTTGATGTGAAGATGCACTTCATGAATAGAGATGCCATGTCATCTTAATACCATGTGTCCATTACAAACACACTGGTCCTAATGTGTGACTGAGTAGAACACATTGGATTTCATGCTGCTCCTGTGCTGATTCTTTTTAAAGATATAGTCCATCATTTGTAATTTGTGCATTTTGTTCGTTTGAAGCCACACTAGTGTTCAAAATCTAATGAAGGATACTGAACAACTAACCTGATGAAGTTTCAGCTCAGCTTCAGCTGTAAATTCCGAGAAAAACAGCATTCTAGGATCTCAATTTTAAATCAAAAGTTGCTGAATCATGTTTTGAATTGTTTTGAATTGCAGTTACATGCGATGTCGCTCACTGATCCGACGAATTATAGCAACCACGCGCGCCTGTGCGTCGTGCCAATGCTTGCACGCGCTGCGCCGAATAACAAAACGAACTACTAATTTAAATTTTCCTACAGTGCGTCTTAAGACGCACCATTGGAAAGGCCTTCTTTCGTTGATTACTTCAAAATGATAGCTTGCCAGAAAGATTGATTTCACAGGGAGTTTAGTCCACTTACTATTTTTCAACCAAGTATGTTTTTCAACAATAATACGCCAGTTACATCGGATGGCTGCAATGATGGACTATAGCTTTAAGAGACATGACGCAGTTTGAGCCACATCCATAACACACATTAAGTCCTAATTGAAGTGGATCCAGGTCACATGATTCTTGCATAGTGGTATTATGGAAGGAATAGGAACTGAGATGATATCAGCTGAATCTATGTTGAGTGATGAATGTACCATTTGCTTTGGAGTGACAAGCTTTCTACCATTGGACCTACGGTGTGTCCTGCTAGCTAGCAAGCAGACCAATCACTGCTAGACACCTAATCAAAGGATATCTGGTCATGCATACATTGAACAACAATAGAAGAAGCTCTGTGTGTATATTTCTTGAATTCTTGTTACAGGAAGTTAGCTATGTATGCATGATAAGGCTGAATAGCTTCAACGTTAAATCCCTCAAATGCAGAGTAAATTTCATTTGAACCCACCCTGATTAAAAAGCCCACCCTTAAAATCTCCAAGCAATGCATGTTTGATATTGAGTGCGTGGTTCATATTGAAACCGTTCATGCTCATGATTATTACCATGCCATACACACACAAAGTCTAACAAGACAACACAAACCCAAGTCATTGGATTGGAAAGGGATTTTTTGTTTTACTTACCAAAAGTGAGGTCTGTAAGGGGTTGTGTTGGGCAGCAACACGTATTAAATTCATCATCTACCAATTTGTGTTTCTTGTAGATTCTGCAAGTCAAATTTGTGCAGCATTCAGAACTTTTACTCCTCTGCGTCTGTTCATGATATTGACATGTTAGTGAACAGGTTTGTGTCATGATTAACTTCATGATTAACCACTATTTGAAAGATGGAATTTTTGCATTGGAGAGATGTATCTCCCCAGTGCAAAAATGACATCATTCGTACCGGCTACTATATCAGATTCGAACCCTCAATGGTCGAGTGGTTAGACATCTGCCTAGTAAGCAGGAGGTCGTGGGTTTGAGGCCCATCTTAGTAAGCTTGGGAATATTTGTCTTGCAAGCCTTACGACAAGACTGAACATAAAGCGTTTAGGAATAATCATGTTGGTTTAGGGTAAAATACAATATCAAAATTCATGACTTGCCTTAGTTACGTCAAATTTGACCATAAATAGTCGGAGGGAAAAATCCCACATCTGTATTTTCCAACATATTCCCCCAAAATAATGTGAATAGTTTTGACCTACATGGTACAATTATCGCATGTAGGTAATAATGCCTCCGATCTACAGAAGTACTGTCAACATCCAGTTTGTGCTCATTCCTTCTTTGTGGTCATTCCTTTGTTTATTGGCAATACTACCACTGATCTGTAGTGTCTTACCACTTGTGTCTCAATCTGCCATTCAAATATGAACTGTGACTACTCAAACTGAAAAAGAATGCTTAAAACAAATCCAGACGCTGGGTATGTATGAAGAAACTACTGAGTATTACCAAACATTGGTGTTATAAAGACTTGTGCGTGTAATTCTCTGACTATCTTTGCCAAGAATGACTGACAATAATGAAATTTAATAAGTGTGATATTGATTGTTATTATATACTGTTGTAGGTTATATTATCTGAAAAAAAATGCACAAAATCTATTTAAAAAAATAATATAGATCTAGATAGACAATAGTACCATGTATACGCTGAGTTTCTTAACTACTACATGTACCTTACAACATGTATTGTCACTTTGATTTTTTTGAATATTCTTAATGTTGTTTTCAAATTACACTAATAGTGGATTTTTGCAGTCTTAATAGAAAACTGCTGGTGCAAAGAATTGGACTAATGTAGGCCACGGTGCTGCTGCAATGATTGGCTTGTCCATTGGCTGGGCCAATGCAGACAGGGGCCAATCAGAAGCACACCAGTTATTGAATGCACTCACATAATACAGGCGTTTTTCACCGTAGATGGTTGCACTGTATTGATGCATTCATGCAAAGCAGGCATACATATTTCATTCATAAAAAAAACAAATCACTTTTAAAGTTAAGGTGAATGCTCAACTAGCTTTGGCGATTTCTGGGTCTTCAATGGTCTGAATGATATTTAAGAGTACTGTTGAAAGCCAGCAATGTACATGTACATGGCAAGTCAATAACAAACTGTATATTCTTTGTTGGTGATGGTAGTGCATTTAGAATGTCTGGGTATCTGTACTGTAGTTAGGGAACATGTGCAATGTATGTACAAAGTCAATGAACATTTTGATAATTTTTATCTGTTGGGCCAGTGTAATGGGATGACATTGATGTTAAATGTAGATAAATGATAGCGTTGCAGGAGTTCCTCCAACCTTTTATTGTACATGTACATGTGCTTGTTATCAATTACTGTTCTCAAGACCTTAGGCTTTATTTTTTTGCACTTTATATCTGTGTAGTCTGCAAGTCTGCATTATACTCCCTAGGAGTAAGATGGACACAATTCACACTCTCACAGTCATTCATCAACTAGCACACATAATCATGTAGTCATGATTATGATTGATGTGCGTTATTTATTTCTTTGCAAATAGTGCCACTAGACACTACCTTTACACTTGATGTAGCAAGGTTGATCCAAGATTGAGAGATGTCGGAAGGTCATTCTAAGACTGGTCAAGTCCAATCAGGATGGGATGCAGCCTATGTATTCATATTTCAAAGAGATCCTAGCATGGGGGGGGGGGGGGGTTGAATTACATCCATGTCAGTGAATGTCACTGCACTTTATTATCATATTATGCTCATACTGTCACTTGTACTCCTTGAGTGACCACAAGAGGGCCTGCTTCATGATGCCCTACGGCTGACCAGGCACTGCCATTTAAAATACTTTGGCTATTTCATGCATACGATACTGGACACTCAAAAGCACTATTTTTGGTGCACAGGGCGTTTGCTTATAGGTTACAACCTGTGCACCAAAGGGTTAATGCACTAGCCTGTAATAGTGAACCTCACATGGCTACAAATGTAAATAGCAATGCAAATGAGCAGAACAGAAATCCAACATGTCAGGTATGCAAAGTACTTCAACCATGCATCCTAGCATTAGGTCCCTTCACATGTTGCATTGGTACTTTCTCTGTTACATTGCCTGCTAGTATTTAGGATTTCAGGTCAAGTGCGCTTCGATTGATTTCAATCAGATTCTGCAAGAATGTTTCAAATTCTATGTAAATTTTTTAGTACATTTTGAAATTAAAACCACGTTTCACTGACAGCAAAGAAAGAAATTCACTGCACTCACTTCATCTCAAGGAATTTCTTACTGAAAATCACATTGCCATTCCTGTAAAGTAGAGTGTTGAGAACAGATTTGTACCCTGTGACACAGTAACTTGATTTGGCTTTGTAAAGTCTAATTAAAATCCAAGCCATGCTTACATAGCATAGGTTTTAATGGTAAAATAGAAACTCTCAACAGATTTGAAAGAAACTCACAAAACATAATCAGAGTTACATATACCATCTGTTCATTGTGTTTGACATTTACGATATTTGAAAATTAAGTTATTACAATAATATGCTGCAATATTGAATGACTTTTCTCTGTTTAAAATAAATGAACAGCTGGGCTTATTGGATATAGGGTCTTTGTTAAATGTAACAGTGAATGTCTGTCCCATTGTGAATGGACTTCTTTTGCCAAATCTAAACATCCTTTCATTTGCTAGATCAGGTGTAAATGTAGCAGGGATTTGACCCAACTGATTATCATGGACATGATAGTGAAAGTCAACATAATCCATCTAGAATCCTGTAGGGCTAGAACCCATGTACACACAACTGCATTAGTTGTAGATTCCACTCTCCTAGCATAAGCAATGGTGTGGGATGATGTGCACAGTCAAGCATGTAATTGTAGCAGACACAAATGATGTGGAT